GGGGGGTTGTGGGGGCAGGGGTGCCGCCTGTGTCTGAGACAAGTTCCTGAAATGGCCCTCGGGGAGGGCGAACCCCAGTGCCCGGCACACTCTGGGTGTCGGGAACCCTGTGCAGACATGGGGTGGGGGGCAGAGTGTGCCCAGGGGTGTGGGCCCTTCTGCTGGGGGTCAGCTCCTGTCCCCATTGCCTCCTCTAGGTGTGAACCTCCAGCCCCAGCTGGCCAGTGTGACCTTTGCCACCAACAACCCGACCCTCACCACGGTGGCCTTGGAAAAGCCTCTCTGCGTGTTTGACAGCTCAGCGGCGCTCGATGGCGCTTTTGAGGTGTACCTCTATGTCCTGGTCGACTCAGGTAAAGGCCTTCTTCCCGCGGGCCGCACTGAAAGGGGCGTTGACCTGTCTGCAGGGAGGAGGAAAGGACACGCGTAGTGGGGTGCTTTAGCACCGGAACGCGACTACCCCCGTGTACCTCGCTGACAGGCAGCCCTGGGGGCTCCGTGCCAGCCCTGGGCGGGGAGCTGAGGCCACATGTATGGACTCGTCCCCGAGAAGCGTCCAGTCTAGCGGAGAAATAAAGGCAGCACCAGTCACTGAGCACCTGCATCGTGCTCAGTACTTCCCACACCTTAGAGCTAATGTTGACAACCGGCCGGCAGGACAGCTGCTAGGATGCCCACCACAGAGCAAGGAATCAAGGCTCACAGAGGTGGAGTCACTCGTGGGAGCCCCCAGGCTGGAAAGGGAACCCAGATCACTGTGGTGTCTCAAGCCCCGGCCCTTCCCCAGGCTCCCCGAGGTGGTGCCTGATTGGGGTTTGCGAGGGAAAGCATGCACTTGGACCCACGTGCTCTGGCCCGGCCTCGCCTGCTCCCTGGGGCGATCCTGGGCTTCTGAGAGAAAGAACCCAGTGACGACCTCTGACGTTTCTGGCAGCCCGTTCAGGGCCATCATTTCATTCTTTCAGCCGACACTTCCCGCCTGCCTACCTGCGCCCGATCTGTGCCCACTGCAGGGGGGTTCTCTCCCATTTTACAGACCAGGGCCCAGAGAGGTACAAGGGGTTGTCCAAAATCACCCAGCAAGTAAGGAAGGGACCCAACGCAGGTCTGTCTGCCTGCATGCTGTTTCCCCTGTACCGTAGCACCCTCCTTTCTCATTTTACGGAAGATCCAGGGCTCTCAGGGGAAAATGGTGGAAGTCTGTTGGGGCGGGAGGGTCTGTAGGAAGAGGAGGTGGGTGAGAGCCGGGAGCCGGGCACGGCGCCCGAAGCCGAGAGGTGATCCCGTCTGCCCCCTCCGTTGCACAGGGAGCCCTCGAAGCAGGGCTGAACCTGCCTCGGCCTGGGACGCAGGGCCCAGCATAGCGCTGGCTCAGGGAGGTTGTCCGCGGGTATTGGGTGAATGGCTGAGTGAGTGCCTTTGAGCTGAGGTGGCCAGGAATCTCACTCCGGACCCTGTCTCTGCAGCCAGCTCCAGGAACGCCTCCGTGCAGGATGCCAAGACCCCGCTGAGCTCCACCTTCCAGCAGACAGAGGGGGGAAGGACAGGCCCCTATAAGGCAGCGGCCTTTGACCTGATCCCCTGTGGTGACCTGCCCAGCTTGGATGCCATCGGGGATGTGGCCCGGGCCTCGGAAATCCTGGACGCCTACCTCGTCAAGGTGGGCGCCAACGGCACCTGCCTTTCAGACCCCAACTTCCACGGCCTCTGCAACCCGCCCCTGTCGGCGGCCACGGAGTACAGGTGGGTGTGGGCAGCTGTGGGTGACTGACCGTCATGCCCCAGCCCTGAAGGGCCAGAAGGGCCCAGAAGGGCCACGTTTCTTGTACCAGGACTGGCCCAGGGCTCACGAAGGGGCCTGCTTCAGGGCGTGTGACCATGCCAGGGCCCCATGCACTCAGAAGGACCCCTGCTTGGCTTAATCCTCTGCCTTTGTCATCTTGAAATTCTTTTATTATTTTTTAAATCTTTTTTGTTTTCACATTTGTTTATTTTTGAGAGAGAGAGACACAGAGACAGTGTGAGAGGGGGAGGGGCAGAGAGAGAGGGAGACCAGAATCTGAAACAGGCTCCGGGCTCTGAGCTGTCAGTACAGAGTCCGACACGGGGCTCGAACTCACGGACCGTGAGATCATGACCTGAGCCGAAGTCGGACGCTCAACCGACTGAGCCCCCCAGGCGCCCCCCCCCT